CCGGGAAGACTGCTTCTTGTCCACAGAACAATTCTCCATCTTGCGACATGCATGATCCTTATTCTCCGCCACTTTGCCCATGAACAGAGTAATGCAGATGGAAGTTGTTGGCTTCTCCAGTATAAATACCTTGCCTCTGGACAGCAAACAAGACGCCAAAAACACAAACCTTCTTCCCTGCTATCATTATCATAAGTCTGAGCTCTATTACTGGTTTGCCAAAGTGCAAGCTGAGTGTGCTTGTGCTACCGGTCGAAAGCACCCGTGGTAAGTCGGGAATTGCTTTTAAGGCAGTGTTCGTTCGAACACGACATAGTGCAAATTTCCCTTCGCCTCTATCGCCTTCCCACATTTGCTAATCACCAAAATCTAACACTCACAACTCCCAGGTTTGCAGACATTGTTCATATCCAAAACACAACATTTAAAAGCAAAATTCCCGATGACAATGTCTTCACTTATAACCAAACCCGCTGTTGATCTCGCCAAACTTGAGCCACTCAATGGCCTCAACTTTCGCAGATGGTCAGCAAAGATTTTCATGCATTTCGAGCAGACTGAAACGGGTTACATGCTGCTTCAAGACCCTGCGCCATTTCTCGTCCAGACTTCATCAGCTTCGACAAAGCAGCCTTCGTCCACTTCTCTTCAGCCTTCAGAATCGCAGACTACAGCTTCGGACAAGAGTACTGCTACTGTAGCATCCACTGCAAAGGAAGCTACAATCACTGAAGAAATTCGCATGAAATATGACAAGGTCAACAAATATGTCCGTGCAACTATACTACAAAATATGGTAGACTCCATCTTTGATCTCTACTCTAAACAAAGGTACGCAAAAATAATTCGGGATTTTTTACAGAACAAGTATGGTTCGGATGATGTCAGAAATCGCAAATACGTTGTTGCACGATGGCTCAACTTCAAAATGACAGACTCAAAACCAATGTTGGAGCAGGTCTATGGATATGAAATTTTGGTCACATATATGCTTTCAGAAGGTACCCAGGTAAATGATACATTTCTGTGTGATGCTTTAATAGAGAAATTACCTGATTCCTGGGAAAGTTTCCAAAACAAAATGAAACATAACTCAAAAACAACTACGTTGGAGGAATTGGTGAAATCCATCAATATTGAAGCCTCAATTCGCGAAAATAGGTCGGTTACCTATCCTGGAAACTTTAAAGCTAATATTGTTGAATCTAGTTTCAACCAGAACAGGACGAAGCACGAAGGTCAAAACAAAAATAATAATAATAAAAAGAACAACAAGCCCAACAACAATGATCACCGCTTCAGAAATGACAAAATCCAAAAAAAAGGGGAAAAGTGGTGCATGCTTCGTTTGTGGGAAACAAGGTCATCGTGCAGCACAGTGCTATCATCGCAAAGGAATTCAAAATTAAAATTCCCAGAAGGCGAATAATGTTGAACCAAGAAGTCAAGCTAATTTACTTGAGAATGCTAAAGATACCAAGGTAATTGAAGCTGTTATTACTAAAGCCAACATAGTACAAAATCAAGAAGAATGGGTGGTAGACACTGGAGCCTCCCGTCACTTCTGCAACAACAAAGACATGTTCAAGGAGTTCGTGTCAACTGAAGGAGAACAAGTTTTCATGGGGAACTCTAGCGTTTCTGAGGTAAGGGGTCGCGGAACAGTAGAAATTATATTATTCTTTAGGAAGAAACTGCTCTTACAAAATGTATTATTTGTTCCTACCCTCCGTAGAAATTTAATCTCTAGAGTCTTGTTGAATAAGGCTGGGATTAAGTTAGTTTTTGAGTCTAACCATCTGGTCATGACTCGAGGGGAAAATTACCTTGGGAAGGGATATTTACGTAATGGCTTCTTTGTGCTGGATGTAAACGTAGTTAGGTCTGAACCAAATCATGATGTTGTTAATTGGTATGGCCCAAATAATAATAATGCTTCTTCTGCTTACTTTTCTGTCTCAGTAAATATTTGGCATGATAGACTAGGTCTTATTGGCCTAAACTGTTTAAATAGACTAAAAAGTATGGATTTATTGCCAAATATATCTACTGATTCATATTCCCAATGTGAAGTATGTGTTGAAGCAAATAGACTAGGTCAAACTTAGTTGTTTCAGCCTTTCCTATAAATGTGTGGGGGATTGTTGGAAAACATTAATAGAAAAGTTCTCTCCCTTTAAAATGTTGCCACACCACTTTAATTTCAGCTTATTATTTTATCTCCTAATTTCGCGGGGGAGACTGCTTCTTGTCCACAAAACAATTCTTCATCTTGCGACATGCATGATCCTTATTCTCCGCCACTTTACCCATGAACAGAGTAATGCAAATAGAAGTTGTTGGCTTCTCCAGTATAAATACCTTGCATCTGGACAGCAAACAAGACGCCAAAAACACAAACCTTCTTCCTTGCTATCATTATCATAAGTCTGAGCTCTATTGCTGGTTTGCCAAAGTGCAAGCTGAGTGTGCATGTGCTACCGGTCGAAAGCACCCGTGGTAAGTCGGGAATTGCTTTTAAGGCAGTGTTCGTTCGAACACGACACAGTGTAAATTTCCCTTCGCCTCTATCGCCTTCCCACATTTGCTAATCACCAAAACCCAACACTCGCAACTCCCAGGTTTGCAGACATTGTTCATATCCAAAACACAACACAAGGAACACGACAGTATGGGAGAGAACTCTTCCACTACTTTCGAAGCTATGCTGGGCAGCAAAGTCATCACTAGACGCTTACCAGACTATCCACCATCGCATGCCTGCTACTGCCATAACAACCAACGCTACTGCCGCCTCTGCTGGGGCCGTGATCGGAGCTGCACAGATGGAGTCCGCCTTGCCCGCATGCTACGTAGATGCGACCTATCATCCCTCCAAGAAAAAAGCTTCATTCGGCATTGTCCTTCTCTCTTCGAATGAGGGCTTCACATCGGCTTGCGGTGGAGTGTTGCTAGACTGCTTCTCTCCTCTTATGACGGAATCTGTAGCTTGTAAGGAGGCGTTATCATGGTTGAGAGACCGTGGAATGCTATTTGTGAATCTTCATACAGACTGTTCTGAGTTGTGTCTCTATCTTTTGGCACAACATATTACCCCCTTATCCTTTGTTGGTTTTTATATTCGGGATTGCAGATCTATTATGTCTTCGTTTATTCATTGTTTGGTTAGTTTTGTGCCGAGATCGGCTAATGTTTTAGCTCACACTCTTGCTTCTGCGGCTTTTGTATAGGCTAGCACGATGTACTATGACTCAGTTCTCCTGACTCTATTTCTGCTTTAATTCAATAATCCATATCGATTTTTTGCTTTCAAAAAAATAATAATAATACGGAGTATATTTTCAACAAGGAAATGGGCCCATTTGGCCTTATGCAAGTCTGACCAATCATTTTTTTTTTTATTACAAAGGAAGGGGATACCCACATATATAAGCTACACCTACACTAAGGCTCGAACCCTAAACCTCTCACATAGAGGAGCAACCGGACACCAGTGGACCACAAGGTCCTCGGTAAGTCTGACCAATCATTATCGCGTGGACCGTGGTCTACACAATTGTGTGGACCACAATCCAAAAACACAAAGTATATTTTTCTAACTCATAAAATACATTATTCAAACACAAAGTAAATTAATCTAACTTATAAAATACATTATCTTATCTTAGAAATTTCATTATTCTAACACATTGAGTACATTATACATTATTCTAACACATAAAGACATTACCATATCCCCAGAAATTTCATTATTCTAAGTTCTAACACATAAAGTACATTATTTTAATACATAAAATACATTATTCTAACTCATAAAAGAAATTTATCTTATCTCAAAATATTCATTATTCTAACATGTATTCAAAGCAAAGAATTTTTTTTAAACATCAAAATAATGTCGTTTTGGAGCTGTGTAGACCACGGTCAACAATAAAATGTCACATAAGATTGCAGGTCCAAGTATTTCACGGGTGCAGATGGCCTTCAATTCGTTCATTGTTATCAGTTACACATTGTTGGTTGAATTAATTGATAAATGAACAGCTTTATTGTCAAAGAACAAGTGAGTGCAATGATAGATTTAATGAAAATAAGGCTCAAATTCACTAAACTGTAAAGCTGAAAACGTGATAAACATTCATTTCAAATTCAAAGTATCTGATCACTGATGAGTTGAAAGTTGAAATAAACAATATAATGAATCTGATGTCCATGAGAATACCACCCCCTGCTTGCAGGAAACAACAAATACACTTGAAAAGGACAAAAATTTGGCATTGTATGCTGTACCCAGCCATCCCATTCACCTTTGGATCCTTTATATTAGCAAGCAGAAGCTTGAGCTTTGCCATTTATCCAAACCAAATATACTAAATTCCCTTGGCCCTGCTTGGTAAAATAGTTAGCCTATAAGCCAATTTTGGCTTATTTGACCACTATTAATTGTTTGACTTGGTTAAAAATCAATATAAGTATTTAGTTAATTAGCTTTTTGCAACCCCAAAAATGCTAAAATTTAAAAAGATGCTCTAAGCAGCTTTTTCAATTAGCTTTTTGAGAAAAGAAATTATAACAAACAGCTATCAGCTAACAACTAATTTACCAAACACCTTTCTACAATCAGTTAATGTTATTAACTAGTTATACCCTCTAATTAACACAATCAGCTAACAGCTAACAACCATTTACCACCAAACAGGACCAAAATGTAGTAGGCAATAATAAAAGCAATCAAGAATGTGAACGAGAGGGGTAACCCCAGCTAAGATGACAAGAGACATTTGTAACCACAAGGTTACGAGTTTATATCCTTGCCCCCTTGTTTGAACTGGTCAATTATGGGTAACCTAGACTGGTTTACTTCCTTGTAGTACTTTTTCGACTAGGGTCACAACTCACAATGCGGGGTTTACCCACACCCAAAAAGGGTTGTGGGGTTTCCCCCGTCATCCAAGAAAAGAATGTGAAAGAGAGAGTAATTCAAAGTTTATGCAATGATGGAGGTGAGAATGAATCTTCATTTTAATGACAGTAGGAAAGTTGGAAGTAGCCTTGAAAAATTCATAACATTCATTGACCCCATCACATAAACATGTAAAGCCCAGCAACAAGCTTTAAGCCAATAAAGATGCTTAACCAAAGGAAAAGATAACCTACTTCCTAGTATACAATCGAGTTACACTCCATGTGGCTAACTCTAGTTGATGAAACCGTGTATCACAAGTTCCTCCATATTGGCCAATCGTGAAATCAGGCAGTAGCTGAATGTGTTCTGCCTATGCTTCTAAAGCTGAGAATATGTTAACTCGGTCAGACATTTATTAGCAAGGTAATATGAGTGCAAGAAGAAAAATGTAAAACCCTTACCTTATTAGTAGTTGGAAGTCATTAGTTCAATCTTCTCCTTCTAGTTTCGCGGGAAACTTCATTATTAGTGTCAGAAAACCTCAACAAACTAAATCTTCTCCTATAAGATGGAGTCCGTGGCAAAGGCTGATCCCTTTCACCACTTGTAGTGGGTATCAGGTTTCCCAATTGTACAACAGCATCAGAATCTTCATTTCCTCGAGAAGATGAAGCAACAGAATCTGTATCCAGAATCGGATGCTCCAGTCGTGCAACACTTTCATCTCTTACAAAAGAATCTTCAGCCCGCATTGCATCAGCAGCAGTTGAGCCTTGAGCGCTGTTTCTTTGCAATATGCGATCAGTAATCGATGCAGCAAGGTCCTCGAATATGCGCTGGGCATTATCTAGTTCTGATGACAGAGAAGCGGTGCTTTCGGAAAACACCCTTGAAAACACACGGGAGCGTACTTGATGGCTGCCATCTGCGTTTTGCAACTCCTGAGAAGTCGTGGGAACATTTGCATTCATGCCAATCGGCTCTGGTCGATTCGGGGGATCCCCCATTCCAATACTAGCCCTAATTCGCCTCAGTGCTTCTGCAACCGGAATATGAGATAAACCCCGGGTCAGATGCTGCTGTCTAACACTTTCTACACGATGAGCTTTTGGCCTTGGCGGTATCTTCACACCAGACACCAATTCCGTCTCACAATGACTGTTTCCATTACAATAAATAGGAATAACATGGCCATCAGCAACCTCTCCCTTGCAAACGGGGCACTCCTTGACCATAGAATCAACATATGGCAACTGATAAAAGCACGCCCAACAATACAAGTGACCGCAACAAGTCAAAACAGGCTCCTGTGCCATGTCCAAGCATATATTACAATCAAAAAACGTTCCACCATCCTTAGCAACCTTCTTCACCTCCGAATCTATTGCCAATGCCTTCGCCACTAAATGACTGCTGTCCCTTTTGCACCCTCTCCCACTACCAGAACTCATACCCGCTGCATCCTCATCACCCTCCGCATTCACATTCTGTCCAACCAAAATATTCGCTTCCACAGAACTTCGAGCACGGCGCCACCTATGGCGTTCCCAAACTCGGGCAGTGACAGCCTCGAGATGTCGGATTCTCTCCTCTATCCTACTCTGTGCACTCTCTAAATCATTCAAGAAAGACCTAAATCCTAAAACTGACTCAGGAGGCTGGTCTGAGGGTTCTTGGTTCAAATCAAGGTCCATTATCATATCATCCAATACATTGTCACCCATTACATACAACCCTTCTTCAGCTCAATATTCAAAATGCACTGCTCAACCCCTTGCCTAAATTCCCCAATACAACACTTCTCAAGTCCAACTGCAGAAAAAGAATAGTTCTTATAATCGCAGAAGTAAGGTTTAAGAAACCAAATGACTAACAAAAATCAGGAAAATTAAAAAAGAATCAATCTTTAAGCATAAACTTACAATTCCATATAACCAAAAATTAAAGACATATAATCAACGTTTTATAAATATATGTATCAAGTAATCAAGATTGCGAAATTGATTTGTAACCTGCACCAGAAAGGGGATCTTTGGCTATTGAACGCCGAAAATCCAAGGCCCCATAGCTCCTGGAGCTTTCTAACAAATATGGTATTAGGGTTTCTGTAGATAGAGAAAAAGCCGTCGATTATATCAGCGATTTTGAGAGAAAGATAGAAAAGAGAGGGCCATGCTTTTGCAGATTTGGCGCAATTATGGACCAGGGGATCCTAGGGAAGCAGCCAACTAAAGGGTGAAAAACTGTGTCGTTTTGTTGAGAGTCAAAACTCGCTAAACTAATCGGCTGAAACAGGGTGCAGCCCACCTGTCAGCTCGGCAAGTATAGAAACTCGATTTCTTCTTTAAAAGAAATATCATTTAAATAACCAAAATATTCCTATTTAAAATAAAGCACAAACAAATATATGCATACTCACCCACCATAAAATATGATAAATGATATCTTGGCTTGGTTTTAAATTCAATTTAACCTCTTTTACATTCAATTTAGCCTCTATTTAAAGAGAATTGTCATGTTTTTGGGGTATGAAGTGCTCCTAATTGAATGCCTTTTTGATTGTAGGAAATAATGAATCGACTAGCATGAGAACGGGCAAGGAATAACACTTTGTAAAGGTGAAAAGGAGTCGTGACGACACAAGATGAAGGCATAAACGCACGGTGCAATTTGAGGGGTTGAAAAGAGCAAAGGAAAAAAAAAAGAGGGGCACTCATGGTCAGACTCATGACGGTGAGTGCTGTCATGAGCAAGCTGGGCATCTCGCTGAACAGAGACCTCATGTTGATGTTAGAAATAATTATTTTCTAACAATGATTTATATAATAAAGGTTGTAATTCCATAAGGTACTCACGTTGATGATCAGTGATGTGTAAAGGCGGAATTACTGGGTGAAATTCCCTCCCTCTCATTCTGTTAAAAATTTAAGTTTATAAGGGTTAAAAGATGTATAATGGATAAGGTTATGGGTTTCACAATCCTAAAGGGATTTCTATTCCTAAAGGAGGTCATATTTCTAAAGGGATTTCTATTCCTAAAGGAGGTTCCCCATTCCTCTTGAAAGAGGGTTTCTCACCACATCTATAAATACCCAGGAAAACTCTAGGGATCAACACAATTTTCAAATCTCTAAGTTTTCTAATCTCCGTATCATCAGGAGGTGATTAAGGTATACGGATCAGAGAGGTGAAGCATTATATTCTTGATTCATTCAATTTAGAGATTACATCTTCAATGGAACCAAGTAAGTTCTATCTTTTCTATTTAATTAAAAATCCATGATCATGAACATTGTTTAGTTGATTGATTTGATTTACATGCGATCATTGTTAATTGTGCTTCCGCATTCAAGTTATAGCGCATAAAGGATTATTTAACATTTGGTATCAGAGTCTGCTTGTAAATTGATTAATCACTAAAATTAGGGTTCATGATATTTGGGGATTTTTTAATTGTAAGGTTTAATTGGTTGTGGGTTTGTTGATTATCCATGTCGAATGTTTTTCTTTGGTTCGTATATGGCGATTGTCGAATATATGTATATGGTATTACTATGTATATTGGGTAACTGTAATTAATAGTGTATACATATAATTGTTGATTTGTAATTGAACCTTGGAATAATCAACAAGTTTATACGTTAATTGTATATGTACTGTACGAAACCATTGTGTGCATATCAGCATATATAATGTTTATATAAATGGATATGATTTATATATGCTCGTACTGTACAATATATATACGTGTGGCAAACAACTATATTATTTGTTATGGAATCATTAAGGTGTATATGGTTGGTATGTATATACTGTAATGTATATATATTTTGGAATTGAATCAAATGGATTATTGGTCTGCCTACTGTTTATATATATATATATATATATATATATATATATATATATATGTAGCAAACATGTATGTTGTAGTCTTGCATATTCGTACTGTTTATTTTATATATATATATATATATATATAAAAGCTATTGATTTGCATGTTTATATATAAATGAGTGTACGATACAGTATATATATTATATATGGTATATATATGTACTGTTTATATATATGTGTAATCAATGGAATCGATTCACCTTCAATCGGTGGGCAACGGAGAGTTACGGCAATAACGGTAAAGTTGGCTTCTCGGTGGAGCAATACCGGGCAAAGAGGCAGCAGACAGGGGACGTTATGCCATGGAATCGTGTTCACCATTTATGGTGAACACGGTTCCAACGGTGTTAGTACATCATTATCTTTTTTTTTTCTTAATTAATTGCGTGACTTTTCTTCTTTATTTTCACATTTTGCGGTTTCACTTTAATTTGAGGTGAACAAAGATTTTGGACATTCATAAATTATGAATTCATGCCTGCACATTCACTTTGGAACCATGCCTACACATTCCCGTCCGAAATCACGGACATTCATAAATTATGAATCCATGCCTGCACATTCACTTTGGAACCATGCCTACACATTCACTTTGGAACCATGAGATTATGAATTTTCTGTTATAAGATTATGAATTTTCAGTTATGAGATTATGAATTTTCAGTTATGAGATTATGAATTTTCTGTTATGAGATTATGAATTTTCATTACATTCATAATTTCGGACATTCATAAATTATGAATTCATGCCTGCACATTCACTTTGGAACCATGCCTACATATTCCCGTCCGAAATCATGGACATTCATAAATTATGAATCCATGCCTGCACATTCACTTTGGAACCATGCCTACACATTCACTTTGGAACCATGAGATTATGAATTTTCTGTTATAAGATTATGAATTTTCTGTTATGAGATTATGAATTTTCAGTTGTGAGATTATGAATTTTCTATTATGCGATTATGAATTTTCTGTTATGAGATTATGAATTTTCATAAAATTCATAATCTCATAACAGAAAATTCATAATTTGATCAAACGCGCGCCGTTAACTCCACATCCGCAAATTTTTTTTTTTTTGCCTAAAAACGACGTCGTTTTGCCTTGTGTTCACCATTCTCGGTGAACACGATTCCATGGCATAATTTGCGAGCGGACAGTGGATGCATCACGACTTCAGGTGATCTTGTTGATGTATCATTTTGTTGGGCTAATTAAATTGAGTCTATTTAAGTTATTTAAAGTATTATGGACTCACTTTAAATTTTAGGCTCATTTAATTTGTGTTTATATTTGAGTCTATTTGGGTTATTTAAAGTATTATGGATTTGCTTTAAATTCTAGGCTCATTTAATTTGAGTTTATATTTGAACCGTTTGGTTTATTTAAGGCATTAAGGACTCATGGTTGGAGGTTATATCCATTATTAATTTATTTATATGTTTATAAATGAATTATTAGCATAAGGCGAGTGTGTTAGTCGCCAAAGCGGCCCACTCATGGTAATAGCTAATTAATCATTTATGTTTATAACATATATATAAATTAAGGTTTATTCACATAAATGATTTATTAGCATAAGGCGAGTGTGTTAGTTGCCAAAGCGGCCCACTCATGGTAATAGCTAAATGATCATTTATGTTTATGTTTGCTACATAAATTAAGGTTTATTCACATAAATAAATTATTAGCATAAGGCGAGTGCGTTAGTCACCAAAGTGGCCCACTCAAGGAAATAGCTAAATAATTATTTATGTTTACAAATGTTTATCGTAACAAGTATTTTGCATCGTTGAATGACACTAAAGGATTGATAAACATTTGTGATCATTAACACATGGTTCTAGCGGTTGCCCAAAGGTAGATCAGACATGTGATTAATGACAATTTAGGAGATTATGATTCTTGTTTTGTTAATATGTAGTGCATGTCCAAAGATGGCCTATATATTAAATTGAAACTTGATGAATAGTCTCATTCAAGTATGTGTGAATGATGATGTCGGTAAATTGACATTGTATTAAATTTGACCCAAAGGCGGATTTAAATACAAACTTAAGGTCTATAAATTATAGTCTGAATAAAGGTTTGTTACTCAAAGCAATTGATAAATGTGAGATAAATGTTTGCAGTGAACATTATCGTATCACGCTATAAGGTGACAGTTTTAATGTCAGTGATAATAGCAGCAAATCTAAAAGTAGTAAAGAAGGGCAAGCATCCTATGAAGGTGCAAGGTGATGTTCAGAAAGTGCAGAAATGCTATTCTGTAACAAACCTGGGCACAAGAAGGCTGAATGCCTGAAGAGGAAAGCTTGGATGGAAATAAAAGTATACATTCAGTTTCAGTATGCTTTGAATCCAATCTTATTGAGGTTCCTTCTAATACTTGGTGGTTAGACACTGGTGCTACAACACATGTTTATAACATTAAGCAAGATTTTTATGTTTCAACCTCATAGGGAAAATGAAAAGTGTCTTTTCATGGGAAACATGATGAAAGCTAGAATTGAAGGTATTGGAACTTACAGAATTAAGCAGAATACAGGTTTTTGCCTTGATCTTGAGAATTGTCTGTATGTTCCAAATTGTTCTAGAAATCTTGTTTCAACCGCTAGGTTGGAAACATTGAGTTTTTACTTTAAGATTGGAAACAAATGTTTGTATCAACAAAAAAAACTTTATGGTTTTGGTGTTTTGTTGGATACACTATACTGTTTCAATCTTAATGATAACTTTGTTAATTCCTTGTTTAATGTGATGTTTGTGTTAAAAGGAGTGCGCCAAAAGAATCTTCAGTTGACTTGTGGCATAAAAGGCTTAGTCATATATCCAAAGAAAGGATATTGAGACTTATTAAAGTTGGAATTTTGTCTCAATTGGATTTTACTGACTGGAATGGTGCATGTGTCGATTGCATAAAGGTAAAGGAAGTCAGACATGTATCAGTACACTCAGCTACAAGAAGCTCATGATTACTTGATTTAATACATACAGATATCTGTGGTCTCTTTTGATGATCCGTCTTGGAGTGGTGATAAATACTTTATTACCTTTATTGATGATCATTCTGGGTACTGTTACATCTATTTACTGCGTGAAAGATCTCAGTCTGTGGATGTCCCAGAGACATTCATATTTGAAGTTGAGAGTCAGTTAAATAGAAAGGTAAAGACAACTAGATCATATAAAGGTGATGAGTATTATGGGAAAACATCAAAAGTTGGGCAAATTCTCGGCCCATTTAAAGAAATTCCTCGAATCTAAGGGCATTTGTGCATTATACACAATGCTAGGCACACCACATCAAAATGG